CACACTCTTACATAAATAACTTCACTGCCAAAATAGGGAACAATTTCCCTAAATACGAATTTCTTGGATAATGCTAAACTGGGGCACCCTGCGCACTTATGCCCGGAATGCTGGGCAATGAAGTTTTTGAACTGAATCAGTAAGCATTGGAAAAAGCAAGAAGAGAGCTTTCTATGGTATGAATGTCATCACATTATAAGCAAAATTTTGAAGGAACTGCTGCACCAAACATGAGGCCACAAAAATCGGACAGAACTTTCGGAACGATCTAGTATATACAGATGGATTGGAGAGGCGAGCGGGTAAAGGAACGAATACTTGGGCACCGCCTTGGCAGACTTCTGGTCCTGACAAGAAGTACAACAGTAGAGCGAAAGGACCAGCAGTCCGCGGAGGCGGGGCCGAATTGAGATTCGTTCCTCCACCCAGGCGAGCTGTTTCACGGAGTGGAAACTGTGAAATGTACCCTAAAGGTTTATCGAGTAAGGCGCTTGTCAGTACTGGCTAAATTAAAGCTGAGAACAGACCCTTCAAATGTAAGCTTGCGAGTATCCCAGAAACGCATTGTACTTTGCAGAAAAATCTAAGTTCCGCGCGATACGCGCACGAATTAATGACTATCACGCGAAATCACAAAACATTTAAGTGAACCAGTGTTTTCCAGAGATAGAATCCTTTGCAAAAGTATCCGAATGACTGAACTAGCTAAAAACCTCCCCTACTACACCAATATTTCGTGTTCTCACATTTATTAGTACCAAAGTAAAAAACATCATGTCTTGAATCCGCTATCTCTAGCTTTTCCTGATACAAACTGAGGCACAACTGATGGAAGAGAGATCAAAATCATGACAATCAAGCCTTATAAGAGTAGCATGTGTTCGGCATGAAGGTAAAAGTCCACTGCTAATGTGCGCAAGACAGTTTTTTTGTTGCAAAATAGGACTTAAATGATTCATTTGGCAACACTACCAAGCTGAGAAATCTGTCAATGAAGATTTAACAGCCTTTTTCTTTGCAAGAACGGCTGCTGGTGACGTCTAAAAAATATCAAAAACAATTATGAGAACACAATCTCCCACGAGAAAAAACTTACATCGCTAGCAAGTCTTTTGTTCTGAGGATTAATATATTTTCCAACTCCTGTGCTGAATGCCTTGGGCTTAGCGATCGCGTCTCTTTTTGCGTCAGCTTCTTTTTGTGCATCTGAAGGGAGGTAAGTACAAAACGAAACTCTACCGCGCAAAACAAGCATACCTTTACTCAATAAACTCGCTCGCTCTTTCTGAACCTCTGCTTCAGCTTCCTCAAAAGGATCAACAAATACTTCAGCGCGCATGAAATATACTGGCTGGAACGTAATTCATCATTTGGTTGATAAACACACAGATTCAGCATACTTCTTTGGGCTGATCACCATCTGTCTCCACTTTTTCTATAGATATCAAGGTCTCTTGTCCTCCAACAACTCGTCCAAAGATCGTATGTTTCTTGTCAAGGTATTTACACGGCCGAAATGTTATAAAGCTAAAAATGAATGAGATAAAGATGAAGGGAGATGGTAATGATAATAGACTAAACAAGAAAAACAAAACTATCAATTCCAGAGCTAACAATAAGAATCATCATATTATGAACTCACAACTGAGATTGGTTTGTATTTGTACCCTTATTCGCCATTGAAAGAATCCCTCGCGCATCATGGGAAAGTCCCTAGAACATATATAGATACATGACGCACATAATATTCACAAACAAATCCAGAGAATAGTAGTTATCAAAATTCAAAGAAAAAATTACCGGTGCAAACTCGTCATCGAATGGTTTTCCCCAAGCTGATTCTCCACCATGACCAGTCCCTGTAGGATCGCCTCCTTGCATCTGGAATTTGCTCCACTGAGTCAACTATTTTGGCGAAGAAAAAAAATGGTTGATTACCATAAAATTCTTTATTATCCTGTGGAACTTCGAATTATTGTAGTATCCTCTTCGACACAGTAAAATAAAATTTTCACAAGTTTTTGGAGCTTTTGGACAGAATCTGAGAAATATTGATTGCCTAAAGATTTTGAACATAATGTAAGGAAAATGGAAACACTCACAGCTCAATATTCAAAGACCCGTGATTGGTAATAATCCGAACGTAACCGTTCTTCTTTACTCGTTTATACCTGAATAAGAAAATGTTTTTTGAAGCACTTCCGTTTCAAACCTTTTGCATACCGAACTGTCTCATCAGATAGTACAGCTGCCTTTTGCTTAGTTACAGGTGCCATGGTAGTGGAAGTGAATCCAGCAGCAACTTGTCCTTGACTAAATCGAAATAGATAGATTCTTGAATGAGTAGATGAGGTCATAGAGGCGCTTACCTGTAGTGTGCTGCATTGATCTCATCAGCAGTTTCTTCAGGCTCAGGCTCGATCTACAAAGAAAAATTATGATCAAAATTCGATGCAAGTAAAAAAA